TTCCCCGAGGTTACATATCAGAGAACCTCCACTGTCCTTCAAACTGATGAAGCCATTCAGATGTAAAAGCAACCAGATGGTCCTAAATAAATTCTAACTAGATATAGTGATAAATGCAGAACATAGCTAAGCACTAAACTGGATTACTGTTGGAAACTTCCTGTTTTAAACCAACAAACCAGTGCCAAAATCATGCAGTTGACCACCATGTTTAGTGAATCGCTATTTGACAAAGCTCATTTACCGCTTGTATTTTATACTTAGACTTTCAGTGAGGTGTTTCAAAGAGGTCCTTGGAGCATATGACAACAGAATCTATAAGAATGACCCAATCTCAGTGAAGCAGGACTACATCAGAAGACATCGATGCATGCCAGGCTTACAACTTGAATCTTATGCAAATCTATTTTCCTTCTGAATGCATGACATCAAAATCATGATGGGATACGTGAATCATAAAATAAATAAATTACATTGAGCTTAAACCTCAAAACACCAGTGATAAGCTTCAGTGAACTGGATCCTTTTCTCCACCTAGTCAGAACATCTTTTGAAGCTAAAATGTGTCTTTAAATGGCGAGACACATACATTATCAAATGTTTAGACAAACGTATTCCTTATTTTTTCCCAATTTTAGAACAATACTAAAAGCCATAATAATAAGATGACCAAAAGTTGTTCAATTGTATATTTTAGCTTCTGAAATCTCCCAGCCGACTTCACGAAGTGCATCTTGGGATATTTTTGAATTCACATGCATGCTGGGGACAGTCCAATGTATCCATTATAAATAAATAATAATAATGACAAATATTTTTATGGGGGGGGGGTAATTTTGTAATTTTACGCATTTTCTAAGCATTAACCTACATTTTAATAAGCAAATTCCATCATGCATGTCTAAACTTTTATACTAGAAATGTACCACAGTGCGTCCTGAATAACATAGCAAAGCATATCCTACATCTGAGCAGTGATTGAAAACAGAGAGCTGCAAATATTGTAAAAAAAAAAAAAAAAAAAGGTTTTGCATACAAAACATTTTTGTTAGGAAAAAAAAAAAGACATCACACAGACAGGCATCTGAAATTGGCACGATTTGAGAAAGGGTGGAAAAACTCTGGGTGGATTTTTATAATTATAGGGTGGTTGTGTACACACACAGTCAACACACATTTCAGTTCAAACCACTTGTAAAAGTGCATGTAGCATCCTATGACCACTTTAAGTAATATTAACTTTACACAAGGATGAAAATAATTTTTTCTTCTTGGATTGCACAGTTTGCATTAAAAGGCAAACAATTTCTGAGCTACTGAACAGACGATAAAAATGCTAACTTGATTTTAAAAAATATCACCTTCCAAACAAGAAAACCTAATTGCCGTTAACTGAGCAAATGAGATCTAGCTCTTATCTTTGTCACTAATGGTGCCATTTCAACTTTTAAGAAGGTGAAACAAGTAAAAGAGCAATCAAAGACAAGCAGCACAGACAATATCTTCATTCATGCCCAACAAGTGTCTCCAACAAACACGACCCTGGTACATTTGAAGCCTCCCAACAAACTAAGACAGAAACCTGAAGGATGCTTCTCGAAAATGTAAATAACTCCTTTATGAGCCAACATCGTTCTATGCAGGAGGGCAAATACCTCCAGGCAGGACTTCTGGAGCCCATGTTTAGTTATATAAAGACTGTATACAAGAAGAACAGATGGTTTGACAGAGGAGTGAAGGAGGCCTTAGATGCGAAACTAGAACAGTCGTCAGCAACTCACAACGCTGTTTTCCCAATTCACACAGCAATCGAGATTCACACCAGGAGAGAAGCAATTCCCCGAGGTTACATATCAGAGAACCTCCACTGTCCTTCAAACTGATGAAGCCATTCAGATGTAAAAGCAACCAGATGGTCCTAAATAAATTCTAACTAGATATAGTGATAAATGCAGAACATAGCTAAGCACTAAACTGGATTACTGTTGGAAACTTCTTGTTTTAAACCAACAAACCAGTGCCAAAATCATGCAGTTGACCACCATGTTTAGTGAATCGCATGAAAGCGCAAATGAAACAGCACACCTCTTCAGGGAAACGCTATTTGACAAAGCTCATTTACCGCTTGTATTTTATACTTAGACTTTCAGTGAGGTGTTTCAAAGAGGTCCTTGGAGCATATGACAACAGAATCTATAAGAATGACCCAATCTCAGTGAAGCAGGACTACATCAGAAGACATCGATGCATGCCAGGCTTACAACTTGAATCTTATGCAAATCTATTTTCCTTCTGAATGCATGACATCAAAATCATGATGGGATACGTGAATCATAAAATAAATAAATTACATTGAGCTTAAACCTCAAAACACCAGTGATAAGCTTCAGTGAACTGGATCCTTTTCTCCACCTAGTCAGAACATCTTTTGAAGCTAAAATGTGTCTTTAAATGGCGAGACACATACATTATCAAATGTTTAGACAAACGTATTCCTTATTTTTTCCCAATTTTAGAACAATACTAAAAGCCATAATAATAAGATGACCAAAAGTTGTTCAATTGTATATTTTAGCTTCTGAAATCTCCCAGCCGACTTCACGAAGTGCATCTTGGGATATTTTTGAATTCACATGCATGCTGGGGACAGTCCAATGTATCCATTATAAATAAATAATAATAATGACAAATATTTTTATGGGGGGGGGGTAATTTTGTAATTTTACGCATTTTCTAAGCATTAACCTACATTTTAATAAGCAAATTCCATCATGCATGTCTAAACTTTTATACTAGAAATGTACCACAGTGCGTCCTGAATAACATAGCAAAGCATATCCTACATCTGAGCAGTGATTGAAAACAGAGAGCTGCAAATATTGTAAAAAAAAAAAAAAAAGGTTTTGCATACATAACATTATTGTTAGGAAACAAAATCAAATCCCACACTCTGTCCTTGCACTCTTCATTCATCTCTCATAAAACCTCCAGCCAATGAAGACAAAGCTCTCCAGCAGGCATGCAAGCAGGGAAAACACGCTTGAGTAGGCAGTCCCTGAACAGGACAAAATCTTTCAAAATGGCTGCCTCAGTCCGGAAGATAATTATAGGAGATTTGCAGCTGCGGGGATGAGGGACGGGACCTGGCGGGCAGTAACCCTTGCTTAAAATTGCTGTGGCTGTTTTACTGACAGCTACTAAACAAGTTAATAAAGCTAGATGTAATATGTCTAGACAGGGCCTGAAAACGCTGGACTATCTGTTTTGATTTATTGTATTTTTTGTGTAAACAGACACTAAGAAAGACAATAATGGATGAGGTGGTTCATTTGAGAAGGATGAGTCTAATTTATATAACTTCACCTCATACTCCTGGAGAAATTATTTCACATATATACAGGCCCATCTTAAATGAAAATGCACATAGAATCTGTAGTAGAAATATCTGCCTCAATCCACTGCCTGTTGCTTCCAATTACCGCTCTGGGACAAATCTGCTAAAACCACTGGTCTAGAATGAGTTTTCCAAAGCCAAACAGAAACAATTACTAGAAGCGAACTGCAAAATCTGATTCTTCATCAGTGGCTGCAGACTTCATACATCTCGTAGCTACTCAAAACACATATGAATTTTTTTAAGGGAATGTAATTTTTGAAAGTTGTAATAACGTTCCATATTTAAAATGCTATCCATATCCACATTTAAATTAAGAACCTTTTTCAAAATTGCCCTTCTCCATAAAAATAATTTTGCTGCCTCCTCCTGCTGATTCCTTTTATAAAATCTTGGCCGTCTCCTTTAACACCTTGTATGTTAACTGGAACACTCAACCTAAGTCATATGGAAAAATGCCTTCATTTAGTCATCATACTGTTCATAAATAAAAAAAAAATACATGCTTAAATTGTACCTAATAGATTACCTGTTACTATGGTGCTATTTTAATACCAGTGGTGCTTAGGTTGCTTACACATCATGCCTTGCATTTTAAATGCACTCTGAGTAAAATAATTTGAGACATTAATATAATATAATATAATATAATATATAAATGTATATGTATATGTATATAAACAAAACATAGCTTAAACATGAAAATCTGTTTGAAAATCAAAGAGAAAATCTGCCTTTCTTCTCTCTCGCACTCATATCTCACTCGCTCACACATATCTCATCAAACACCACCTGTCTGTAAGAAAATCCAAACACCCAGGCAATACTCTGCAGACTTGCTTAAATGCAAGTTCGTAGTTCTGCTTAACTTTAGCATTTAAGGACAAGGTTATTTTTTGCCTATGTGCCTCTGTCTACAAAATCGACTATGGATCTCTGAATTATTGAGATGTGAAGTATTATAAAGTCTCGTATCTTGCCAATCCAAAAACACAGACAACACTGCAGCCAGGAGGCTCTAGCCAACAACCTGCTCTACAAGCAAATCATTTCATCGGAAAAAAAATATACAGACAGTGCAGAAAGATACTGCATTAAAGGCATATTTGCAGACTTTGGCAATTTAGTAATAAACTCCCAAAGGTGAATGGTTATTTAAACTGAACATAATCTTAGTAACACTATGGATTACATTCCAGCTCATTGCAGAGATCCTATTGGGCTTGATTGTGCAAACAGGTGGTTAACACTCTGAACAGGTGTTTTCTGTAAACCTTTAGATTATCTATGCTCAAAAGACTGCGCTGTTTTGCTGGCCTTAGCTGGTTTAAGAGGGTCTTCCCAAGCTGAAAAGTGCCAAAACCCATGTTAAACCAGCCTGGTCAGCTGGCTTAGAATGCTTTAATGTTATGTTTTCCGCAGGGATGATCACTTCAGGACAGGTTGCGGAAATGCTCATTATAAACCCTATAGACTCAACACAATATGTGCATGCCTTTACAGTGACAACAACTGAAGTTGACGAGAACCCAAGTCAGCATGGACTAGATAACTGAATAGTATATATTACTTTATGGCAAAGAAGTACAGGATGTTGCGGACTTACACTGCTGTTTTTTCCAGTCCAGTACACGACTGCGTGGTTGTGCGCGGAGTCTCCAGCCAGAGCAAAAGTGTTGCTGGTCAGTTTGGGCTCGTCTGGTCTAGAATCGTGCTCATCATCCCTGTTCCAGCGAACTTCGGCGCGTTTACTCTGTCCGTCGACCCGCAGACCCGAGGTCTTTCTCTGCTCCTCCGAGCGGGTATCAGCGCTCTCCAGAAACTCGGGCACGCTTCTTTGGACTCTCCCTAATGCGGCGTCCTCGGGTTCCAATTCGGATTCACTTTTCACATATTCATCCGAAAACAATTCTTCGTCTAAAGCGGACTCGGTGAAGTTCCCCAAAGGCGCGCGGGAGTTTATCTCCCCTGCGTTTCTTTCCAGTTTCGGCGCGATCCCTGGAAAACCATCCACCTCTCGTCCAGTGGGTACTCCAATATTCGGGTAAAGAACTGTGATCAGCTTGGGTTTCTTTTGATCCTGTCTCGGATATTTCCCAGAATCAGGCGGGTCACGTAGATGCTCATCCCCTGCGTAATTCACTTGCATTGGCGACATACATGGCGCGCAACTTATATCTGCCTTTACATTTGGAAAAACATACCAGGAGGAAAGAATTAGCCAGGTAGAAAGAGTAAAGTGAGCGCCAGGGAATACAACCAGACGGGTCTCCATCGTTAGAAGAGATTTTGGGGAATGCTTCTCCCCTCCCTCCGACTCTCAGACGCGCAGGGAAGCAACTCCAGCGAAGTGTCGGGTTTTAAAGAAGTGCTCCTCAGCTACACCGCTCACGTTCAGGGATGTGATGATGGAGTAAGGCAGCACATAGGGGAGGTACTGAATCCAAGCCAAGCCGCTGCTGCGTCTAGGGAGAGAGAGAGAGAGAGAGAGAGAGAGAGAGCGAGTTGGGCATAACGACATCATGCGTATTACGGTTTAAAGTCTTTTATTTTTATATCTAACGAATTGCATTCAAATTAATACCTATTCAAGCCGTAAAAGCATTTCACTGTTTATGCTCAAATAAATCTGATCTTCTAATTTACCTAAATATGCAGCATTCATAAACTGTCTTTATAGAAACCATAAAATACAATAATAATAATAATAATAATACATGCATGTCATATTGCCTATAGGTAGGCTTTAAAATTGCAATCTAATATGATATAGCTCTTTTCCATGCATTTAAAATAAATGGGAATTGAAAATGTCAAGCCTCAAAAATGAAGGAAAATAAACATAAAAGCATCATAAAATTAGTCCAAACGACTCAAGAATGGTTAAGTCGTAGCAATTATGTCATTGTATGAATCGTAACTCTCATGAACCATTTGCTGGAGGTGGATCTTTTTCAATGGTTCTTTTGGTTCGACGGGAATGGTTTTGTTCATGAGAACTGACTCGGTTCTCAAGTTCAACTCACTACTTGGTTCATTCGCAGCGGTTAACACCTCACTAATGTGGAGGATTATCAGGCAATTATTCGCTAATATATGACTTCAGAAGGCTTGACACTTAGCTTACCCTACCACATAACTCATGTGGACTACCTTTATGGAACTCTTATGGTGAGTTTGCATCGTTTTTGAAGCTCCTAGTTATTGACAACGTCTCAAAAAAGTCCTAACAGGACTGACTTCAGCATTCTTTCTTTTGCGAAACACAAAAGAAGTCATACGGATTTGGAACGAGATGAGGGTAAATGAAAACAGAATTGTAATTTTTAGGGTGAACTATTCCTTTAAGATGACTCTTTGCACAGCTCATAATAGTGACTGCTACAATCGCTAAAATACACTAATTGACTGGATGCCTCATTTCATATCATGCTCAGTTTTATTTATTTATTATTATTTTTTATTATTATGCCCAATACATATTCCCGAATGTGTTGTTTCTTGTGCGTATCACTAAGAAGGGACAGGACAGATCTGGTAGATTTGGCACGTGCACGTGCGCAGCAGGCATTTATTCTGCTGTCATCCACCGCGTGCGAGGATGCTGTGTCCAGACTAGGCGCTCAATGTTGACAAGGACAAAACTGCAGGAGCTCAGCATGGATAACCAACAGGCCCCGCACATCAGCGCGCATGGGCTGCAACAGTAGGATACCTTTCTTTAGCAGAGACAGGAGGAGTTTTAGATGATCACATGCGGTTTTATGTTGTCTGTGTGTGTTGGTCAGGTTTTGCTTTTATTGTGGAGATCAAATATTGCAAGGATAGCCAAACCAGAAAACACCTACACAGATCTGAAATCTGCACTGAATACTAAAAATGGTAAAGAAAATCTAAAAAGATTGCATGAGGGTTAGGTTACTTAGATGAAGTTAGGAGATATCACAGTGAAAATATCTTTAGCTTAGTTAGTACCAAAACAGTAAAAAGTATAAAACGAAAAGTTCCCATGATAGAAAACCAGAAGTGTGCAAACGCATGTTAGTTTACAATTACAAAATGTTTGCTACATTGGACACAATCCCCCTCCCCCTTTAGGGATGCTCCGAAGGGTGAAATTGATTCATAAAAAATTAATATTTCATATTTTCACAAAGCATTTTTGCTATCCTGAAAATGCATTAAATTGCTTTAATTTGGCATTACCAGTCAGAAAAAAACCCCTAAAATGTAGTGTATTTCTGTGCTCTTCTCCAGCCCGGGGGGAACAAAGGAGATTGTATTGATAACAGCTAAGCGCTTACCATACGATACACATTCGCTCAAATTAGAAGGCAGATGGATTTTTGCCCTCTCCCGCTGTCTCGACTTTAACCCCTACTGGTTACATTATGCTGCAGATTACAGCTGGGCTGAGGTGGCAGAGTACTTGCAGGCAGGTGTCGGAAAAGGCGATTAATACGGATCTGAAATGATATTTGAGTAGATAAGATTTTAATCTCAGGCAATTAAGCACAAGAGAGCATATTCTGAAATTGACTGTATACGCATAAATGCATCTTTATTTGCATACTGGTTTTCTTGCATGCACAAAATTGGAGATGTAGGAAAAACAATGACAAACAATAATGGCTATGTATTTCAAGAAAAAAAATGTGCGATGCAACAAATGTGCATTCATCAGGAAATGCCACATTTATTTTTGCTGACTGCTAGCTTTCCTCTTAAACTCGAGATCCGTAAACCCATCACTAGTGACCTTTTCGCATGATATATACTTCCCAATAGAAAAGATTTACAGCCCAGGCTATTGATGGCTTGAACATGTGGTTTGATACCTCTAGTGAAATGGCAGTTCACACAAGAAATCACTGTTTTTCAACACAACTGTTCTCTCATCATGATTACAAGCTGCAAAGGTCCCATTTTTAAAATATACTGCGCTCAGACTGATCGATAACTTCCTCTGCTATGTTGGATCATTCCCTGAAAATAAAGGCTTGCCTGTCTCCAAACGACAATCATGGCCTCTTCAGGACATTCAGCTGGTCTTGTTTCTACAAGCTCAGTTGGCTGTCGAACAGTCAGATTGTGTATTTTGCCACCCAAAGCTCCATTAAAAGGTAGTACCAAAACACATTTAGTCAGGATTCTCATTGTTAGCATAATTGTCACATTGTGCATTAGCAGTGGTGGCATTGACAGGTAAAATTTAACTGTATGTGTTTAGAGCTGCTAAGAAGCACTTAGGTTTCAGATCGTGAGATTAACATAGTATTTTTAGCTCATGCTGGGTAATAATGCTGATGAATTTATCTTTCATATTTTACACGGTCGTTTTCATGAGGGAGTGTTTAACAATCTGAGCAGAATTTTAATGGCCAAAGATGCTCTAAAGAAGAATAAAAACACCTTTGGAAAGAGTCACACCCCTTTGGTCCTTCTCAGCCTAGATGCCCAAATATTTTCATGAATCTTCAGAACTTCATTAAGCAGTGAGCAGAGAGAAGCTCATTCTTCCACCTTCTGTGCCCTTGATGAATTTTATGCAAAACTTTTTTACATTTAAACTAAAGTCCCAAATCGTGCATAGATTTAATGCCACTTCACATTGCACCATGTGGGATGGGTCTAAGCTATTGGATTGTCCCACACATAAGTGACTAGGTTGAATTGTTTTATATAAATATATGATATAAGCCAGAAACAAGTTCTGTTTGTTATGTTCTTGCAGATCTTTATCACATAACACGCCAAAGACTGAAAAGATGTTGTTCTTTACCAGACTGCCCGCTATCTCACAAATTCATGCACTACGTACAACCAAACAGCCTGTACATAAATGATGTGTGCTCATGCGGTTTTATCTAGCGCATTCCTTCCTAATTAAACTGTAAAACGTCTTGCACCTAGACATGGCAAAGCTTAAAAGCCGATAATAAATTCTCAATGGATTCCTTATGCTCCTCACAGATTTTTACCAATGATTTGCACCAGCTTCATTTACAATGTGGTTTATGGATTGAATATTTTCAATAAGATAAGAGGGCACTGTTCTGCTGAACACATAAAATATGCATGCTGTTATTATTCTCAGTTGTATAAATTGAACTCTTAAGGACTAATGAGTGATTTGTTGAAACTGCCCTTTAGAACTAATATGAGACTTTACTTAGTTATTCTTCTTTTTTTGCCATTAACTGCATCACAACTATGGCTGCACGATAAATGGAAATGGAATCGAAATCGCGATTCGACAGAAGCTGCGATTGTCATGCGTATCTTTCAGTGAAGCACGGTTCTGTGATCAGCAGTAAATCTCCATCCAAAGGCCAGAGGGTGCTCTTTAGCATTGAAACTCCAAATACGCCTGGCAGAAGAAACCCAGGAAATGCCTATAGCGGTATCTGGATAAACAGAAGATTTAACTGCTTTTATTGATTCAACGTGACTAATAAACACACGATTTTGACAATTTATCTGAGTTATTATTATTATAATTTTCATTCAAATAAAGTATATTTATAATACAATGCCTTTATCACTGCTTAAATACTATGAAATATGTTGCTTGCCTTATTCTGTGTAAGAAGCCACATCATCTCACAGAAGAATTTATTTCAAACACTCGACTGACATTATGAAGTGAGTCTGGAGTAAAAATATGTTATTAAATGTGGTATTTTCACATGCTTTCAGATGGAGCAGCATTTACTACACAGAGCCATAGTTCACCGAGAAGCTATGCAAACAGCTGTCATTATCGCGAACGATTTCTTCGATTTCATAATCACGCAATAAAATCGTCTGCAATTTTTTTGTGTAACTTGTCAGTGAACTACGGCTCTGGGTAGTAAATGCTGCTCCATCTGAAAGCATGTGATGATGATTTACTGCTGATTATAGAACCGGCATTACTATCAAAATGAGCATGACAATCGCATTCGATTAATCGTGCAGCCCTAATCACAACTCTGGACAGCAAGGAGAATGCAACGCTAAATGCAAAAACATAAAATGCAAACATTACTTGGCAAAATAATAGGCTTATCAGTTTAGAAAATGGAGGAGGAAACACCTCACATATCTTCTGTTGTCAAAGGCTATTTGTTCAATCAATCTCTAAGGTACTTTGGCACAAATTCATCCACTTGGTGCCAGCAGAATATTGTAGATGCCAACATGAACAGGTTGCACATACCCTCAACCTCAAAAAAACATTTGTCATTTGACATTTGCTCATTTTAGTACAAAATGAATAAATAAAAAATAAAAATATATAAATAATTAATTTGCTGAAAAAAAAATCACAACTCATGCATTGTATAAAACAAGTTTTGGCTTACTGCAAAAGATGTTTCTATAATTTTTCATATAAACTACGTTTTTTTTACAATGGCGTTAAAATATGTTGACCCTCTCTACAACATTTTTCAAAAGAAGAACCATTTTAATTCAGTTTAAA